TTTTTTTTTTTTTGAGACGGAGTCTCACTCTGTCACCCAGGCTGGAGTGCAGTGGCGCGATCTCGGCTCACTGCAACCTCTGCCTCCTGGGTACAAGGGATTCTTCTGCCTCAGCCTCCCAAGTAGCTGGGACTACAGGTGCCCGCCACCACGCCCAGCTGATGTTTTGTATTTGTCTTTTTAGTAGGGACAGGGTTTCACCATGTTGGCGAGGCTGGTCTCTAACTCATGACCTCGTGATTCGCCTGCCTCAGCCTCCCAGAGTGCTGGGATTAGAGGCGTGAGCCACCGCGCCCGGCCTCATGTTGTTACTGTGATTAAACATATGCTTCCTTCCTTGTCATTCCCAGAGGGAGGCATTTTTATCCCCATTTTGTTGATACGCAAACTGAGACCTGGTAAGGGAAGCCCCTTGCCCCAGGGCCTGCATGCTTCTCTCTGACCTGTTACCCAGAGGCCTGCCAGGGTCTTCCCTTAGAAGGGGTGGCATTTGGGACTTGTGGGACAGTGCCCTGGGTGGCAGCTGGGAGGCACCCTGTCCGATGTGGGCCTGCCCATGTGGGGCGTGGCGGGGCTGGCTGTGGCTTCCACCCAGGCCCCAGCTGATTTCCATCATCTTTCTGAGCAGCAGTCAGCCTGTGGCCCCTATAGGCAGTAACCCCAGGTGTGTGGGGCCTGCTGTCTGCAGGGGTTGCCCTTGATGGGGCTCCCTTAGTGACCCCCATGTCTGCCACTCCATGCATTCACAGATTTATCCCCTAAGCCACTGTGGCTCGGTGGTGCCAAGTCCCTGCTTTCTGGCTGTGTGACCTGGCACTTCCCATCTCTGAGCCTCACTTTCTTTGTCTGTTAAATGGGCACACGGGGCTGGCTAGGGCTGCCGTGGGAGGTCATTCTCCGGCTGGAGGATGGGTGTCCTCTTGGCCTGCAGAGCTCAGCATATGAGCCACCCGCCTGTGAGTCCCCCACCGCCTTGCCCTGTGGCCTCTGGAAGTCCCAGTGCCCCACCGACTTCAGGATTCCCCCTGCAGATGGGGAGAACGGTGCCAAGCCGGATCTGGGCTGGTTGGGCGGCAGGGGTAGAAGGCCCTCCTCTGAGGGTGCGGGGTGCCGAGGACTGAGGGTCTGCTGTTGGGGGCTTCCTGCCGTCTTGTGCTTTCTCAAGCCCTGGGTCTGGTTGGGTTGACCCAGGCCCATCCTGCGGCCCAGGGTTGGGGCCGGAGCAGGGGAACCCTCTTGGTCAGTTGGCCATTATCAGCTCCACACAGTTGGGGAGAGGCGGGGGTCTCGGGGTGGTGGGCTGGGGCGGCGGCGCTGGCCTGACTGGCTGCCTGACGGTCCTCCCAACTTCTCTCTGCAGGCGAGGCCTTCTTGGGCAGTTTTGTGGCCAGCGGGATGGGGCCCTCGGCCTCATCCCATGGGAGCCCGGTGCCACTGCCCTCTGACCTCTCCTTCCGCTCCCCAACCCCTAGCAACCTGCCCATGGTGCAGCTGTGGGCCGCCCACGCCCATGAAGGTAAGGAGCATGCCGGGGTCGGGGCTGCGGGCTGCTGGGCTGATGTCCCAGCCACTCTGGCCACTTCATGTGCCCCTCTATTGTCATCACAGAGCTGGGGCTGGTGGGCCCCAGGTCACCTGGCCTCCCTGTCATTTCTCAAACGCTCAGGGCTTCCTGTTGTCACAATCAGAGGGCCTTTGTACGAGCTGTTCCCTCTCCTTCCAGCCTGACACCCCATGCCACAGACCACCTTCCATTTCTCCTCCAGCTCAGCTCAGAGACCCCCTCTTCCCCACCCCCTTCCATCACTCGCTTGTGACGACAGATTATCTGATCCTTCATGAACCCCTGCTTTCCCACCGGAGTGAGCCCTGAGTGCAGGGTCTGGTTTGATCTACTCAGCACTGTATCCTTGGTGCACAGTAGGCTCATTAATAATTAGAGGAGCAGGCCCGGCGTGGTGGCTCACAGCTGTAATCCCAACACTTTGGGAGGTTGAGGTGGGAAGATCACTTGAGGGCAGGCGTTCGAGACCAGCCTGGGCAACATAGCGAGACCCCATCTCTACAAAAAAAATTTCCCGGAGCCTGGGGACCTGGCGCTGTTGGGGCCTCTTCTTTTGCATTTCTGCAGCCATGCCCCTCAATGTAGGGGCTCTGCAGGCCTGGCTTCCCCCAGGCCATGAGCAGATTCTGGATTTCTGTAGAGCCTCACTTTCATTCTCTGCCTGCAAAGGAATGGGCCTGAGGACCTCTGAGCTCCTCCTCTCCTCCTTTGACAGGTTCTGGATGTTGGGCGCTAGGTACCTCCTTCCTCCTTCCTCCTCCCTCCTCCCAGGTGTCCTGTAGGTGCTCATGGTTCCTGGAAGGTTGCAGCCCTGGAGCTCCTGCTGCGGGCTTAGGGCTCTTCCGGCCCTCCCCGGCTACTGTCCCTCCCCTTCCTCCGGTGGGGTCAGGTCTGACCAAGTGCTCACCGTCATCCCGAATCCTGTGGCTACTGCGTTCAGCCCAGGAGGAGACAGGTTCAGCCAGAGGCCTCCCCAGCCACAGGACCCTATCCAGTCCTTACAGTACATTGCCCGTTGTACAGATGAGGTCAGCGAGTCTGCTCCTCCTGGACACTCTGGGGAAGGCATCTGAATCCAGGCACGAGGGTGTCTGGCCTGCACAGAGGGGGCCTTCTAGGCTGGGGTCCCACCTGAGCCTGCCACTTTAACCAGCCAAGGCAGGTGCCTGGGCGAGAAGAGCCTGCCTCTCGGGCCTGTCTGCCAGCAGCTCGTTACCTCTGTCTCCCTGAGACTTCCTTTTCTCTTTGGCCAACAAATCCTAGTAATGACCGCAAACACACAGGGTGCTTACCACAGCCCAGTGCACACTCAGCTCACTTCAGCCTCAGAGCCAGCCCTGCCTGGGGGAGGGACTGTTAGGCCCTTATTTTTACAGACAGGGTCTTGCTCTGTCGCCCAGGCTGGAGTGCTGTGGTGCAATCTCGGCTCACTGAAACCTCCGCCTCCCAGGCTCAAGCCATTCTCCCACCTCAGCCTCCTGAGTAGCTGGAACTATAGGTGCATACCATCATGCCCAGTTAACTACTAGATTTTGTTTTGGTGGAGTCGGGGTTTCACCATGTGTCCCAGGCTGGTCTTGAACTGCTAGGCCCAAGCGATCCTCCCACCTTGACCTCCCAAAGTGCTGGGATTATAGGCATGAGCCACTGCGCCTGGCCTATTAAGCCCATTAGGTCCATTTTACAGACGGGAGAGCAGAGACCTGGTGCCTGTGTGGGAGTGCTGTTTTTTTTTGTTTGTTTGTTTTTTATTGGTTGTATTTTTAAATTTTTTTTTATTTTTTGAGATGGAGTCTTGCTCTGTTGCGCAGGCTGGAGTACAGTGGCACGATCTCGGCTCATTGCAACCTCTGCCTCCCGGGTTGAAGCGATTTTCCTGCCTCAACCTCCTGAGTAGCTGGGATTACAGGCGTGCACCACCACACCTGTAATCCCAGCACTTTGGGAGTCTGAGGTGGGCGGATCACTTGAGGCCAGGAGTTCCAGACCAGCCCGGCCAACATGGTGAAACCCCTTCTCTACTAAGAATACAAAGATGAACCGGGTGTGGTAGCAGGCGCCTGTAATCCCAGCTCCTCGGGAGGCTGTGGCAGGAGGACCTCTTGAACTCAGGAGGCGGAGGCTGCCGTGAACCGAGATCCTGCCACTGCACTCCAGCCTGGGCCACAGAGTAAGACTCTGTCTCCAAAAAAAACAAAACAAACAAAAAATTCTGAATAGTTGAAGTCAGCAGGTCCTGATGCTGGGCATTGCTGGTGGGGGGCCTTTGGGGAGGCGGGGAGGATCTTTGGTGGGGGGGAATTCCTTCCTGGCAGCTTCTGCCTGGGAGACCCAGCAGCTGAAGATGCTGGGTCCTCTGAGGTTCAGAGAAGGCAAGTGACCAGCTTGGGGTCACACAACAGAGAAAGGGCCCGTGTTAGGCTGAGGTTAAGAGTCCTGGCTCCAGGGTTCGATGGCCTCGGTCCAAAGTCAGGCAGCTCTGCTGTATCTCCTTGGGCAAGTGGCCTTCTCTGAATTTTCTCATCTTTAAAGTAAGGACATTAAGTCTCTTCCTCGTAGGTCGTTTCTGAGGTTTAAATGAGGATGACAGTGGCAAAGCTCTTGGTCATGTTTGGTAGACTGTTATCGGGCCCTGCTAGTTGGATCCATTCTGATCCTCTTCCTGTGGGGACTGGAGACCCCATCCTCCCATGAGGGCTTCCTGGGCCTGGAGAGAGACCCAGGGTTGGGGAGCAGGGGAATGCCCTGAGGAGCTGCTGTTAAACCTCGAAGCTCCCTACACCAGCGGTCACCTGCCGAAATAGTTTATTTCCAGGAGCTGGAAGGAAGCTCCTGGTGGGCAGCACAAATTGGCCCGGCCCAGCTTTTCTCTTTTCTCTGTTACAGGCTTCTCCCACCTGCCCAGCGGGCTGTACCCATCCTACCTCCACCTGAGCCACCTGGAGCCCCCCAGCAGTGGGAGCCCCCTCCTCAGCCAGCTGGGTCAGCCCAGCATTTTCGATACCCAGAAAGGTCAGGGGCCAGGAGGAGGTAAGACTGTGGAGTCCGGGGTGGGGGGTGGCACAGGGGCCTTCTGACAGGCTTCTGGGGCCTTTGGCAGCATCCAGCTAGCCACCAGCTCTGTCCAGGATGCTTGCCTTTTTTTTTTTTTTTTGAGACAGGGTCTCACTATGTTGCCCAGGCTGGAGTACAGTAGTGTGATCATAGCTCACTGCAGCCTCAAACTCCCAAATGATGCTCCTGACTCAGCACCCCAAGTAGCTGGGACTGCAGACATACCCCACCACACCCAGCTGACTTTTTAACTTTTTGTAGAGGTGGAGTCTTGCTGTGTTGCCCAGGATGGTTTCAAATTCCTGGCCTCAAGCAATCCTCCTATCTCGGCTTCCCAGAGTGCTGGGATTACAGATGTGAGCCTCAGATGCTCTTTTGAGACCTGAGTCCCTAAGACCCCCACAGACTCCTTGGGCCCACCCACAGCCCTGGGTGCCTTCTGGTCACACTCTCCTCTTAGGGGCCCTGCTAGGCCTTCTGGGAAGCTCTGAAAACAACCCCTGGTCTCTCCTTTTACAGATGAGGAAACTGAGGCACGGGAAGGGTAGATTTAAACTTGGTTCTAGATATTTCCAGAGCCTGCACTCTCTAGCTGGGTTGCCCATTTCTTCTCTTCTTGCCCTGGGGAGATGCCTTGCCTTGCTGTGAAACCTCGGGGCTCCCTGCACTAAACTAGTTTAATTTCCAAGAGAAAGCACTGGGCCGAGTGCGGCTCACGCCTGTAATCCCAGCACTTTAGGAGGCTGAGACAGGTGGATCACCTGAGGTCAAGAGTTCAAGACCAGCCTGACGAACATGGTGAAACCCCGCCTGTATTAAAAATACAATAATTAGCCGTGCATGGTGGGGTGCGCCTGTAATCCCAGCCACTCGGGAGGCTGAGGCAGGAGAATCGCTTGAATCCAGGAGGCAGTGAGCCAAGATTGCGCCATTGCTCTGCAGCCTGGGCGACAAGAGCGGGACTGTCTCAAAAAAAAAAACAAAAAAACAAAAAAACAAAAAAAACTGGGGGAGACATGGGTTGGCCCAGCTCTCTCTCAGGGGTCCCCCTCCGCCCAGGCAGGGGTGGGAGGTGGCGCTCGCTCACTACCTGCTGTTCTCTTGTCTGCAGACGGCTTCTACCTGCCCACCGCGGGGGCTCCGGGCGCCCTGCACTCTCACGGGCCCTCGGCCCGGACCCCTGGCGG